GCAACAAATATTTGTTGCTGAGATCTACACCCCAAATTGGATTGTGAGGGTTGTAGATCCCTGTCGCCTTCTCCCCAAACACACACACACCCCTTCTACCTGAGCACACGGCACATGTGGACACACCTGGCGACTCAGGCACACTTGACCGCAGGCACAGGTGCACACGCACAGCAGGGGACCCCCACGCAGACACCGCCCTTAGACAAGCCCTCCAGGGCATGCATACCCAGACACAACGCACCTGGGTGCACCTTACCCAAACCCATCCACTTGGAACATGGGCATATTAGCACATGCACCACAGCAGACTTGCTGCCTGTGTACACATGCAACCACCCCCACCATGGGCACAAATCCCCATGTGCATGCCCAGATCTGCTGAAACAGGAGGCACCCAACTGTAAGGGATGGTTGCATGCATTCCCAACTCACCCATTCCCCACCTGACACCCAGGTACTTATACACACACCAATTCAGGTGCCCACCGCAGCCATGGGCCTAGCTCCCCTTCACGACAATTATAGCTGCCGTGTATGGAGAATTTCCTGTGTGCTGGAATCTGGGTTAACTCATCCACTCCTCACACAAACCCTGTGGATGAGGAACTTTGATCATCCCCATTTTACGGAGGGGAAAACTGAGACCCAGAGAGACGAAGTAACTTGCCCAAGATCACACAGCTAGGAAGAGGGGGTGCCAAGCAGGCTGGCTTCAAACCTGTCACTCAACCACTACTCTATCCTGCCTGGCACACACCTAGTTGCGTATCCTTGTTCATCTCATACACATACAGACACATTCAGCTCACATGCACACAGACACACACAGACAGTCTGTGCAGAAAGCTCACTCATGGCTGGAACACACCCGCAGACACAGGGCAGGTCCCAGAGGATGGTGAGTGCAAGTCCTAGGGGCCCAGGCTGCCACCCTTCTCCCCAGCCCCAACAGGACCCCCAAGGCTGCCAGCTTAAGCACAGGCGTCTAGAGTTCCAGGCAGCCTCTGGGTGCACCTCCAGCTGCAAGCTTTCCAGGGTCCCGTCCCCCCCCCCATGAGCTAGAGCAGGAAGACCTGCTTTTTAATGCACACCCGGCCCAGGTGGTGAGCAGCTGGGCCCGGGGAGAGAACAGCTGCCTGTGTTGGTGCCAGCATTGAGAGAGGCTGGACAGCCTTCTACAGTTTACAAGGCCTTTCTGGGCCTATGCACGGTCCTTCTGGTGAGGGGTCCTGGGCCCCCACTGGGCACCTGAGAGGCTGGGGCTTTGTTGAGCAGCCTGCCAAGGTCACGCTGCCCTTTGCTGTGCATAAGGCTTTCTTGGAAAACCAAAGGCTGGATATGCTCATTTCCAAGGCCCCTCCTGGGGCTCCCAGCAGCTGAGGGCAGATGCCTTGCTCTTGCTCAGAGCCAGAAGCCTTGGCTAGCTGCCGCCATGCTGGTGACCTCCAGTAGGCCACAGTCTCCCCTCCCTGCACCTCGGTTTCCTCCTTTGACAAGTGGACCCCGTGATCCCTGGCTAGGGCACTCCATGCTTGTTGGCAAAACCAGGTCAGCCGTGGCTGGGGAAGCCCTGGGTGACTCACTGGGCCTGGCTGGAGCAGGCCTGGCCTCTCCACCTCCACCCCCGCTGCCACCACCACATACCACAGGGGACTCAGGGTGCCACCTAAACACACCAGCCCATCTGTGACCTTGGGTGCCACAAGTCCAGTCTAATGCAGGCAGCCTGGCTCTTTGGGGCCCTGATGGTCCCCCAGTTCCTTGGCTTTGGCTGTGGGGCTCAGCAGAGCTGAGAGGGCGTGGGAGGGAGGATGGGGGGGTTGACCTTTGGCCAAGCTGTTACCCTGCCAGGAAACACAGCCTCAAGATGCTTCCCCAGACCCCCCAATTCTAACTAGATTACAGCCCCTGAGCTATTCCGGGGTAGTTAAATCAGTTGCTGTAGAGTCCACTCTGACTCATGGAGACCCCATGTGTGTCAGAGTAGAACTGTGCTCCATAGGGTTTTCAATGACTGTGATATTTTGGAAATAGATTGCTAGGTCTTTCTTCTGAGGTGTCTCTGGGTGGACTTGAACCTCTGAACTTTTGGTTAGCAGCCAAGTGCATTAGCTGTTTGCACCACCTAGGGACTCCTCCAAAAAGCAAGCCCTGATGCCCTAGAGTTGATTCTGACTCATGGCGACCCCATGACACCCCAGACACATAAACAAATAAGCGAGATAAAGCCAGACGTAATTATACTAAAGAGATACCATGGGGGAAGGGGCTAACAAGGCAACTTGTGGAGGGGAAGCTTCTTTAGATAAGGTGGGTAAAAAAACTCAAACCAAACCCATTGCTGTTGAGTCAATTCCAATTCATGGCAAACCCTTGTGTTACAGAGTAGAAATGAGCTCCATAGGGTTTTCTTGGCTGTAAGCTTTATGGAAGCAGATCACCAGGCCTTTCTTCTGAGTCACCTCCCAGTGGGTTCAAACTGCCGCCTTCGATTAGTGTTGTTTTTGCTAGGTGCCGTGGAATTGATTCTCTTAGTGACCCCACTGACAGAGTAGAACTGCCCCATAGGGTTTTCTAAGCTGTAATCTTTATGAAAGCAGATCGCCAGATCTCTCTCACAGAGCCGCTAGGTGGGTTCAAAATGCCAACCTTTTGGTTAGCAGCTGAGCACTTAACTGTTGCGCCACCAGGGCAGTAGTAGTCGAGTGCAAACCCAAACCGTTTGTACCACCCAGGGACCTAAGGTGGGCAGAGAGCCCTCAATAATGAGAAGGAACTGGGCAAAGAGCATTTACGAGGAGGAAATGGCTGGTGCAAAAGCTCTGGTGTGGGGATGAACTTCGCATTCTGTAGACAGCAAAGAGACCAATGTGACTGTAGCTGAGGGGCGAGGGGCGGGGAGATGGTGCAAAGGGTTCATCGTTCCCAGCTCAGCCAGGCGAGCCAGGCTGGGTTTGGCTTCACTCCTGCATCTGATGGGAAGCTGGGGGCGCAGGGAAGGGGGAGTGACGTGATCTGACTTACTGTTTGGAAAGACTGCTCTGGCTGCGGCAAGCAGCGTGGATTGGAGGGGCTCTGGAGGAAGGAGGGGGAAAGCAGAGAGGAGGTGACTGCAGTGGTCCAGGCGGGAGACAGGCACCTTGCCAAACGCTCAGAGCTCTCCATGAGTCCAGAATCTATTCCACCTTCTGGAGAAACCTGCCCTGACCCTACCTCTCCCTGCCTGCTGCCTCCCTCCACTCAGCCCCAGCCCCTCACCAAGTGGGACTGTCTGTCCAAGTCCATTTGTCTGTGAGCAGCTGAAGTCCCATCACTGCTCAGCACTGGGGTCCGGCCTGCAGGAGGCATCTAGTAAAATGTGGTAAATGAACTCCTGGGGCACACATGTGTCCCCTCAGGCATGCACACACTCACATATACACACCCTGGGACAAGGGCTTGGAGGGCGGGGAAGAGAGATTTGGGAGCAGGAGTCACCCTGGAGCCTGAGAATGGTTGCAGAGGTCTCTTCTCTATCGGGGTGTGTGGGCGACGGTGGCCACGGGGTAATAACAACCTTAGCTGAGACCCTTTCCTCAGGAATGGCTGGGGGAGAGGGACAGGGGACAGGGCCAAAGCATTGCCTGGTCCTGAGGGGCTCTGGTGCTGGCTGAGGCTGGGCCTGCCACCTCCCAGGAAAGCCAGTCCCAGCCTCTTCCTGGCCCTCTGAGCTTTTGGCCAGGGCAGAAAGGAAAGAGCAGGGAGGGACCAAGCTCTGGAAAGTGGAAAGGGGCGGGGTAGGGGGGGGGTGTGGGAAGACACAAGGCAGGCAGGATCCTGGCTTTGGAATGTTGGAGGTTGGAGGTTTCCGGCCACAGAGGCAGGCCTCAGGGGAGCCAAGAGGGGTGGGGAGAGACACACACAGAGGAGATAAACGGACAGAGACAGGAGTCAGGAGGACAGTCAGGAAGACAGGGCAGGGCACAGTCCAGTCTCCGGAGACTGCTAGAGACAGCCAGACATCTGTGGCCTTGGGTGCCACAAGCCCAGTCTGATGCGGGCAGCCTGGCTCCTCGGGGCCTTGGTGGTCCCCCAGCTCCTTGGCTATGGCCATGGGGTTCAGGGAGCTGAGAGGGAGTGGGAGGGAGGCTGGGGAGGCGCCCAGGAGGAGGAACGTGAGAGGGAGGCCCTGATGTTGAAGGTGAGCTGGGGTGTGCTGGGTCTTTATGGGGGAGTCCTGGGCTTGGGAGAGGGGAATTCCAGGGTTAAGGAAATAGGCTCAGAGGATAGGGGTGACAGGTTCAGAGAAAGGACTCAGGCTCAGACAGCAAGTTCAAGTTTGGAGCTGGAGAGGGGTGGGTGGAGAATGGGGGGGGGCGGGTAGAGCCCAGTGGCCCTGACCTCCTCTCCCCTGCTCCAGCATTTACAGGAGGCCCTGGGACTGCCTGCTGGGAGAGGGGACGAAAGTCTTGCCAGGACCTCTGAGGGCAAAGAGGCCTGGGGGGCAGAGGAGGATGTGCAGGGAGAGGAAGAGGAGGAAGAAGCAACACCACTACCCTCCTTCAGCCCTAGCCCCTCTCCCACCCCTGAGGACATTGTCTCTTACATCCGTGAGTACCCAGAAGCCCCGCGCTGTCCCCAGGCCTCAGCAGCAACTTTCACAAAAATGAACCCTTAGTCCACTGTCCAGGGACCTTTCCGCAGCCCCGGCCGCTGATCTCTACCTTCCAGAAGTCCTGGGTCTCCTCTAGTCTCGTCCCCAGGAGCCCCAGGTCTCCACCCTGCCCCTCTCCCGGTACACGGGTCCCCGACCCCGCTCCTAGCCCCCCACCCAGCGCATGCCCCGTCGCTCCGCAGTGGGCCGCCTGGCCGGCCTGGACGCGGGCCTGCACCAGCTGCACGTCCGTCTGCACACGTTGGACACCCGCGTGGCAGAACTGACCCGGGGGCTGCGTCAGCTGCGGGAGGCGGCGGCCGACACCCGCGACGCTGTGCAAGCTCTGCAGGAGGCGCAGAGCCGCGCCGAGCGCCAGCACGGCCGCTTGGAGGGTGAGTCCGCGCCGGGCCGGGCGGAGAAAAGTGGGCGACCGGGGCCAGGTGGGGTACTGGTGGGAGGGGAGGTCTTAGGCTAGAGGGGGACCCTGAGGGTCAGGGGCAAAGAGCTCCTAGAGATTTGGAGTGTGTTGGCAGATGGCGAGGGTAGAACAGCTGCGAGAGTGAATGCGGAGAGCGGGAGGGGCTTTGGAAGAGGCCCTCCTCCCTCGGAGTGTCGGACCCCACTCCGCCCGCGCCACGCCCCCTCCAGTCCCGCCTCAGACACTCTGGCCCCACCCCTGGCGGCCGAGAGGTTCTGACTCCGCCTCCTCTAAGCCCCGCCCCCAGATGCCCTGACCCCGCCTTGACCCCGCCCCTTCCCTTTCCCACCCTGCTCACAGGCTGCCTGAAAGGGGTGCGTCTGGGCCACAAGTGCTTCTTGCTCTCGCGCGACTTCGAGGCTCAGGCGGCGGCGCAGGCGCGCTGTGTGGCTCGGGGCGGGAGCTTGGCGCAGCCGGCCGACAAGCAGCAGATGGACGCTTTGAGCCGCTATTTGCGAGCGGCGCTCGCCCCATACAACTGGCCGGTGTGGCTGGGCGTGCACGACCGGCGCGCCGAGGGCCTCTACCTTTTCGAGAACGGCCAGCGCGTGTCCTTCTTCGCCTGGCACCGCGCTCCCCGGCCCCAGCCCAGCGCCGCGCCGCATCCGCTCAGCCCGGACCAGCCCAACGGCGGCGTGCTGGAGAACTGTGTGGCGCAGGCCTCGGACGACGGCTCGTGGTGGGACCACGACTGCGAGCGGCGCCTCTACTACGTCTGCGAGTTCCCCTTCTAGCGGGCCGGCCGGGGTCGTGCATCCTCCGAGGACGCTCTGCCCTTCCCCCCTGCCGGCCGACGGAAGTGTGTTCCCCGGCTGGAGTTCCTGCAGGCCAGGACCCCTTCCTTCTCCTTCTCTGCCCTTGGAACAGCCAGCACCAGGCTAGATCTGGCGCCAATAAAGCCTTGTGGAATCTGACTTGAGCAGCCTGGGGAAAGGCCGGGAACGGGAAGACCTTGGCCTTTGGGCTCCTGTCCTGTCTTGCCTTTACAGGTATTATTTGAGCGCTGATGGCGCAGTGGTTAAGCGCCGAGTTCAGTGGTTGGAACCCACCCAGCTGCTCTGACTCCGCTGGAGAAAGACTTGGCTATTTGCTCCCATAAAGATGATTTGCTCCCATAAAGATGACAGCCTAAGTAACCCTGTGGGGCAATTCTACTCTGCCATATAGTGTCGCTATCTGCACACAAGAGCAACATTTGAGTACCAGAATCAGAGTGATGGAGAATATATTTGCGTATGTACACGCGGTCATCAGCTCTCCCGCACTGATGCCCGGAGTACAGGTGCACACCGCTAACAGACACCTCCATCCCCGAAGTGCCCCCACTTGTGGCGTTTGGGTCCCAAGGTCTGTCAATCATTGGCCTTGGCCTTGGCCATGAAACTGGGGAAAGAGGTCTGGGAAACACTAAGGAGCTAAAGGCTCCTGGTTCTGCTGCTGCCTTTTCTCTGCTACGCTTGCTGCTGCTTCTTGCTATCTAGAGCCTTCTCCGTTGTTACATCTCTCTCTGTCTGCGAAGTCTAGTAGGTTGTCAGTGCAGGGACCCTGGGTCCAAAGGACATGCTCCATTCTCGGCTTTTCTTTCTTGGTGGTAGTGAGGTCACCCCTCTTCCTGCCTCTGGGATGGCTCATCTTAAGGTTAGCAGGATAGCAAAACTGACCAATCCCTTCGTTAGGGTTCCATACACCATATTTTCATAGTCCCACCCTCACAAGGGTTTCATACACCTTATTTGGATTGCTAGCAAGCTGTCCAGTTTCCTTGATGGATCAAGAAAAAAAAAAACAAAAAAACCTTTTGCCATGGAGTCGATTCCAACCCATAGCAACAGAGTAGAACTGCCCCATAGGGTTTGCAAGGAGTGGCTGGTGGATTCAAACTGCCACCAGGGCTCCCTTGATGGGCCACAAGCACCGTATTTGCATAGTACCACCAAATCGCTGTGTGGGAGTTACAAGCCCATGCATGTCTGAAAGGGCTATATTAAGTGATTCACTGCACCGCACAGTGTGTCTCAAACTTGTTTCACCAGACAGATGGTATCTTTCGTGTAATATCTGGCTCTGGTCTGAGGTGAGAGACACCCTCTATGCCGTACCCTGATCCTCTAGGGCATGTGTTGAGATACAAACTTAAAGCCCCACCATACACAGGCACCAAACTGTGAAACTCAGGATCCCTCCCAACACTCCTCTGCTTCCTGTCTATGAGAGCATAGGTCAGTCCCTTCCCCTCTCTGAGCCTCAATTTCCTCATCCGAAACATGAGCACAGTGACC